AAAGCCCATGCCAAACGAAAGGAGTCCGAAAATTGTCGCTGTCAGATTACGGTGCAATATTGCTTCCAGTTGCCATATCCTGCTGCCTTTCCGCCCAAACTCACGACCGGGTCGAGGGCGAGGACGACCCCCTTTTTGGCTTTGACACAAGCAACAATTTACTCGGTTTCAGGTTAAAGTCATATCGTTAGCATTAACGCTTTTTGATTTTTATTGAGTCAGCTAAATTTTATTCGATTTGCCATCCATACACATACACACAGAGACCCGGTCACACTCGGGGTAAAAACAGCAGCACGCATCCCCCGTGCAGGGAAGGGAGGACTACGGCATAGACAACAACATTCCTGGGGGAGGAATATTTTCGAGCTTTAATGATGTTGGGCGACCGACCAACCAATGAACCCGCCGGCTTGCCAGGCATTTCGGTTGCGGCTGCGGGGGGGACGGGTGGGTAACCTGCTTGCAGAGAGTCTATTTGGCAAGTAAATGAAAATTTGATTTGGAATTTCGTGCGTTGTGCTTTGTGAGACGTGCATGCGGCACAAGGACCCCTGTTCACGATAATGTTGATGACGACGTCAAAGTCGAAGATGGGCATGTGATAAAATAAATTACGGGCAGATTAGTGCGAATTTAATTATCATTTGTTCCTTTGATGTAGCCACGGGTAAATAAATAGAATAAATACCCGGCAAACAGATTATACTAAGTAGTTCCCGGTGCGGCATTTATAACATCATTATCCTGGCTCCTGGCTTGGCAGCGAGGCAGTTGCAAATTGCAATTAATATGTCAAAATCTACGTAGAGAATCGTCAAAATGGGTTGCCTACTTTCTAGCTGAGATGCGATTGAATATAATTCCCAAACAGTTTCAGCTGCGCGGCAATGGAAACTCAACGCTTTAGCCGGAGAAAGCATACTTACCTGGCGTAGAGGTTAACCGTGATCACGAAGGCGGTTCCTCCGGAGTGAGGCTTGGCCATTGCACATTCGGTTGAGTTGACCTCTGCGATTATTCCTAATGTGAATAACTCGTGCGTGTAATTTTTGGTAGCCGGGAATGGCGTTCGCGCCGTCCCGACATATATTAATAAATCTCAACACCAACTCCAATTTAATACGAGATATATTTATGGCATTTATTGTCTTCTTTCTTAGAAGACGAACAGTTGTTCATTCGGATTTATTTTTCCGCACTAATGCCAGCTTTGTATTAAGGCTTCGCATCGGCTTAATTTTCGTCAAGTTTTGCCGGTTGCCTGTGGTTACGGCATTTAGCTTTTCCCGTAGTAGAAACTGTTGTCGTCCTTTTTCTCATCCCTTTTTGATGACGATTTCGAGCAGGAGAAGAGACGCACTTGCAGTTTGGGCTGGGGCATGGGCCTAGGCTTTTCGTGCACGCCAACCCTTTGACCAGCTTTGATTATTGTTCCAGGCAGATTGATTCTGTGCGTGTTTATATCCCCCCCTTTCAGTGCGGCGAGATGCCCATGGTTACCAGTTAATTTAGAGAGCTTATGCTGTCTGCCAAAATGCAAATGCTTTGAGCAGATATGCCCATGGATACTGTTGCAATTCGGATATTCGGCACTTAAATGTGATTTGCTTGGAGAGCAGTTTATTGCTGCAAGAAGAGGATTTTACTGCTGCTGCTGAAACATCCCCTGGCATAAATGTTGTGTGTTCTCCCTTTAAACTTAATTTGAAATGTGGGTCACATCGTTGTCGCCTCAATCAAACATTCTTTCTCCGCCTGGCAACGTCTTTGCCAATCTACTCTATCTGTTGTGAGAAATCTTATCATTCTCAATGATGAAATATCAGTAGACACAGCCGCAGCCAAACATTCAGCCAGTCAGGCAGAAAGATAGACATGGCCAGTGGGCTATTATTTGCTTGGCATGCAGCCTCCTGATGCTGTCAATGCCCATCCGTTCTCAACAGCCACCAAACATTATTAACAACAGCAACAACATCGACATCAGCCTTAGGCTTGCTTGGCCTGAGGCTCAGTCCCATCCCTTTATGAGTATTTCATTGGGTGCGGCTGCAGACACGGACACCGACACGGGTACAACATCAACATCAACGTCGACGTCGTCGTCAACGTCAACGTGCTCGTCATCACATTGTATAAATATCCTCGAGCACGTATATTTCATGGAGACACGTGCTGCATGTTTGCGGGCCGGTCCAAATCTTCAGAGATTAATGCACGCATTAGTAGATTTAATGCATATTACGTTGAGCGCACGTCCTTGTCGTCCTTCCTTCTCGTCCTTGCCGCTGTTCACGTAGTTGCTATTGCTATTTGCATTGTTGTTGCTATTGGCGTTGCCTTGGCTTCCATCATCACCATTGTCGTCGATACAATTGAGACATTCTGGGGAATACCCTGGCATCATTTGTTGAGCTACCCCCCCCGTGCCCACAACAGGGCAGCAGTTGCATGGAATACTGAAACTACGGCATACTTGTAGCATGGAAAGCTTACTGTGGCAAATCGAAAATCGTATACCCTATCTAACATTTTATGATTTGCTAAATAGGTTTGATTAGGGCATAATTTATTCCTATATATATTCCTTCAGGATTTCTTGAATTATTACCGAATCTGGCATAAGGGCAGCAAAGGCTACAAGCCGGGTCCGAACCGAATCGCTTCGAATCCGCAATTCTGTTCATTTTTTGATGCTACGAACTGAACCATAAGGCGAAACAAATAATTACTGAGCCTCAAATTAAATTCATATTTAAATTATGTCAAGACCAATGTCAGCACTGAAATTTTGCTATTTATATAAGTTCTAAGCTTGCAGATACTCTTTAGCCCATTTTGGATATTCAGAATACAATAGAATGTTTAACCATGTTAAAATATTTCGGAGGGTGTAAGACCTTGAGAAAGACGTATTTGACCTTTATATTATATTTACATATGGCAATGAGCTGATTCGAGTTAGATGTCTAAGTCGAAGGGTTCGAGCTTCTACATATATTATATCATTTTATGTGCTTGGTTTAGATTAATATTCAAATACATTTTTTCTCGAAAATATCTTAAACCAACTAACCGATTTTACTTATTATTATTATTATCAATTACCATAATAAATTTGATAACGCAAGCTTTTATTGATTTTCCATAAGCCGATTATCAAATGAGTCAGACAAATCGCAACCAGTAAATCGGCTAAAACCTTTTTGGATATCAAATATATATTTCTTCTCATTTTGTGCATGGAGATAAACAGAAAGATTTAATGACAGACTCCGTGTGCTCCCAATATGCCTCTACTTTTCTTTGTACATCTATTAAACTTTTTTAATTCCTTGCATAGATAAAATGTTCAGACATTGCGATTAGACAACAAAGTTTCTAATCGTTTAAGTTGAGCCTTGAGGCACCTGGCCTTCTGGTATTCAAACATCAATTTCCAACTCCAAAGTTGGATAAGAATCCGCAGGCAGATTTTTGCACCGTACAACTTAGCCTTGCATTTGAATATATTTCATGGTTCTCAATCGATTTCATGCCAAAGTAAATTATTGAAACTGTTTGAAAACTTTTGTATAACAGATTACGATTAGACACCAAAGTTTCTAATCGATTAAGTTAGGTCTTGGGGCACCTAGACTTATGCAAACATCAACTCGCTTTTCACAAATTGTGAATTTCGAAATAAAGTTTGCTTGCAACTCGAATGTTTCATTTAGAGTCCCCGGTTAGATTTTTGCACCCTTCAGCCGAGCATTGAGTTTCAATATATTTCATGGTTTTCAATCAATTTCATGGCAAAGCCACAGCAGGGTAGCAACAACTCCCCAAGGACCTGTCAAGAGTATTGCAAACAGAGCTGAAAGCTACCATCATCAACATCATCAGCATCATCATAATCGTCATCAGCATCATCAATGTCAGCATCATTTTCATAAGAAGCCGCAGCTCGTCATTATTCAAAGCAAATGATAGTCTGTGGAGCTAAGAAATGGCGGGGGGTGCGTTCTGGCAACGTGGAGATACGAATTATACTTTCGGCTAAAACTGAAACTTTTTGCAACGTGCACTTTTTGTGTGTGGCAAAGTTTTCGGAAGCGGATTAATTTGTAAAGCAGCTGACGCTTTTTGTTTTTATTTTTTTCGAGAGAGTCCTAGGATTGTGAATATGACAACTACAGCTGCATTGCCTTGACAATATCTGTATCTGTATCTGTATCTGTATCTGCATCTGTATCTGTATCTGTATCTGTATCTGTATCTGTATCTGTATCTGTATCTGTATCTGTATCTGTATCTGTATCTGTATCTGTATCTGTATCTGTATCTGTATCTGTATCTGTATCTGTATCTGTATCTGTATCTGTATCTGTATCTGTATCTGTATCTGTACTGTATCTGTATCTGTATCTGTATCTGTATCTGTATCTGTATCTGTATCTGTATCTGTATCTGTATCTGTATCTGTATCTGTATCTGTATCTGTATCTGTATCTGTATCTGTATCTGTATCTGTATCTGTATCTGTATCTGTATCTGTATCTGTATCTGTATCTGTATCTGTATCTGTATCTGTATCTGTATCTGTATCTGTATCTGTATCTGTATCTGTATCTGTATCTGTATCTGTATCTGTATCTGTATCTGTATCTGTATCTGTATCTGTATCTGTATCTGTATCTGTATCTGTATCTGTATCTGTTTATGTATCTGTAGTAAAGTCCATTACTGTGTATGTGTGAACCAAAGTGCGACTTGCAACTTACTTCATTTTTGGCCATAGTCTTGGAAGCATCAAAGTAAAATTTAGTCTTTATGGCTGGAGCTCAAGTTAAGCCCTTTGACCTTAATGTATCTGCATCTGAGTGGGTGTGTGTCTTGAAGAAAAACATGAAAGTTACTTAATTTTGGTACTAAGTTTTGGACGCATCAAAGCGAATTACAAGCCAACTTCTCATTTTTAATTTCCATCCACCTGTTCTTCTTCTGCTTTACAGGAGCCGGTCGCGCACCGCCGGAGCCCTACTTTGGCCGCTACATCGGACAATTCACGAACTTTGCGCACGGCATAAAGGTAGGCGAACTCAAAGAATTTCATTCCAAAAGCTATTAACAATGCATTTATATTCGCAGGGCGCCATCTATGCCGTGGACGAGTCGACGCTGTTTGTTAAATCCTTTGCGTACGATGGCACCGGACCGGATGCCTTCTTCTGGGTGGGCAAAACACCGAGACCATCGCCCGAGGGCTATATTATACCCTATCCGGAGGAATATATCGGCTCGTACGTATCGCTGACACATTATCAATGCATTGGAATTGGGCAAATTTTCGGGGTGCCAGCTTCGGCAACGACAACTCGAGCGCAACGGGCCATTTCCTAACACTCAGCGTCTGCCTGTGTGTGTGTGTGGGTGTGTGCGGGTGTGTGTGTGTTTGTGCCATGTATCCTTGCAGATTTTACGTTACGCACGCCTGACAATGAAACCACTTTTAAAAATTAAAAAACATTTTTCATCTTGGCTGCCATTTGCGAAGTCGCCTTCGTTCCGTTCGTTTAATGCTTTCTTCTTGTTGTTGCTGTTGTTGTTGTTGCTGTTGTCGCTTGGTTGCCTCCTAATGCGAAAAACTCATTTATTTCTTTACGTTAGATCTGCGGTCATATGTACATACATTTATGTATTGTGTGCGAGAATGTATGTGTGCTTGTAAGCATGTGGCATTGGCAGCCGCCCGCAACAACAGCAAAGAGTGAAAGCCGCAGACAGCAGGAGAGGGCGGAGGCGAGAGCGAACGAGTGGCTGTGGGGCTAGTAGATTTTTAACCACATTCTGGTTGTATTTACTTAAAGTTGTTGCAGGCGCAAGGTTAAGCCGCACCAATGTGAATTTTATTTACCTTGCTTTTTTCCTCTCACCTGACTTCTTGGTCGCCAAGCTCTGCCTCTACTCCTGCGGCTGCTGCTGCTGCTGAGTCCCCTCCTTTACGATTGCCGTCCACTTGAACTGCACTAAGCCGCGCTGAGCCACACAGCGTGCGACGCGTCTTCATGCAACGTGTCGTTGCATGCCTCACGATTGCTTATCAGCGCATGCAACGCGCACAATTTGACGTCATTTGCTGGCTGCTTAGGCATTAGGCCCTTGGCTGCGACGCATTTTTATCATTATCATTCGTATCAGTATCATTCTGATGTTCATTGCCACTTGACAAAGTCGCCGCTGATCCGATGCCAAGGTTAAGGTGAAGTGCCTCCACTTGTCACTGACATTTAGTCATGCTCCTTGACAAATATTTAAAAACTGCCAAGATTTGTGGCGTCGCAATGCGCTGCCAAACAGCTCGGTGAAAAAATGTCACGTTTTTGCTGTCAAATAACAACAAATCGTCGTGCGCAACAAATACTTTCATATGTAGACAAGCTTCTTTGCAAAAAAAAAATACTATACTACCACATTTTTCTATTTTTGTGCACAATACATTTGTGTGTCCACACTCAGAGAATGCGAACAAGCTTTAACACAAACACTATAGGGTTATGGGGAAAAATAACGTAATTTATAAATAAGGGCTAAATTCGTCTGCACCATCATGTGTATAAATATAACAAAGTAAAACAACATTATAAGTTATAGATATATAAATATAAAGCAAGTTTGTAAACATGAAAATCGAGTAGAAAGGCGATAACTAAAAGAAGCAGATAAGCAATATGGCTATAATCTTCACGACACATTCGATATGGTGGTTATATAATATAATATCAGCGTGCTTAAGTTTGGTTAGAAAAAGTCTTTATTCAAGACCTAAAACTCTACTGATTGCACCCAAAGCAGCTGTATGATATAGGAGTACGAGGTTAATACGATGCCAAGTATGGTAAGGAGATGTGATATTCTAATCTAATATGCCTTGTTTCAAGATTGATTCAAAACTATTAGGAAGACAATTTCTTTATGGGGTTTGATCAATACGGTACAAAATTCGTGATAAACTTAAAATACCCTCTGCAAGGATATACCTTGTTGTTGAATTGGTGAATGTCTATAAAGCTGTATCCTTGCTAAAGTTCCGCTTTTATCCAAAAATGTTCTTGAACAATTTTTGTTCGTAGCCTGTGTGGAACTCTTTTCACATCCGCTTTTGAATTTTTCATTGCCCTTGCTATTGTCACGTGGTTTCTCGCTTGAAATGCCTTTGACAAAGTTGTTGCTCTTGCTGCTTGATGGTGTGTATGCCCCCCCCCCCCCCCCCCACCCCCTCTCCCCACTCCACTCCCCTTTCACTCCCACCACTCTCTCTCTCTCTGCACTATGCTAACTCAAAATGAAAAACTCTGCGCCCCGCAACCATCGCCAGCTTCGTATTGTAATCGACTTTAATGCGTTTCATTGTTGATGCCACGTGCCGAGCTTTATTAGTTCAATGTATAACATTGGCATGCCTCATCCTCAGGACACCGCCTCAAAGAGCATACTGTGTATGTGTGTGTATATCTAAATATGGGGTGCCGGCGTAGTCCCTGGCCGGAACGAGACGCGGCAGCGATTGCACGCTTTTACGCTTTCAGACACACACATTACCCATGCTACATGCCACACGCCAGATGCACCTTTTTCTACGTGTGTGTGTGTGAGTGTGTATCGTGGGGGGTGGGGGTGTGGCAGGTGGGCGCCCAAGTGATTGCTGTATTATGTGGCGCCGTTACTAAGTGCTAACCATAGCATACATTTGGGCGCACTAATTGCGCGCATTTATTGTGTGTAATCAGTTAGAAGCTTATTCCTATTTGATGTATATATATATATATATATAGATATATATATATATTTATATAAATTGATAAATGCTATTGATGGACAAGCTGCTGCTTGTCAGCTTTTGCTAATATCAGCTGGCAGCCTTAGTTGACTTCTTAGTTGCTCGACTTCGACTTCAACTTGGGCTTAGGCTCCGGCTTGGACGCCTGCCAATCAGCTTTAATTATATAACAGCGTTTAGCTGAAGGGCTGCTGACGTCGCTGCTCACTTCCCTTTATGCTCAAGTGTGTGTGTGTGTGTGTGTGTCACAATGGATGCATCGAGCATAAGTAATTAAATTAGAAATTTTTTGAAAAGCATGAAAGCGGCCGTGACGCGTCGCTGATTAACGCCCCATTGCCAGGACGATGCCGCCCGTTGGCTGCTGCTCATTTGCATTTCCAGCAACTTGTACAATGCATATCCCAACCCCCACCCCCACTCCCCGCCCTTAACACACCCCGCTCGATGCTGTTGCTGCTGACGCCGATACTGATTTATGCTGATCTCATTAAAATGTGTTGCATGCAAAGTGGCAAAACGAAGTTTTTAGTTTTTATGCCCATTGTCAAGCAGCGGGTAGAGAGAGAGAGAAAGAGAGAGAGAGAGAGAGGGACAGGAAGAGCCGCAGCCACCCAAGTGTACAGGGCCCACGGCCCATCATTCATTGTGTTAATGTTAATCAACGTTGACAACGCAGCCGCAACACGCAAAAATGCTTTTTGCTCTTTCTCTCAGCGCCTTTAAAGCCTTTAACGTAATTAAGCGACAAAAAGTTGTTGAGGCCCGGCAGCAACACGATGAGGGCCACATACCTCAAGTAGTTACGCCTGTTGCTGGCAGCTTTTCGGCTTGGCGCATTCAAAAGTGCGCACATTTTATTTATTTTAATTTTATATTTTTGTCATCTGCAGTCGCAATATAAAAGCTGTCAATGCACAGAGACCGAAAAAGAGGTGTTAAATATGCACCATTAATCAGATTCCAAAATGTTATGCTGCATCCTGATTTGGTAATATACCATGACTTTTAATTCAACTGGTTGGCAGCTTAACTAATTGAATATTTTAAATCAATGCAATTTAATTCGTAATGCACAAGAGTTCTGTTATAGTCATGTGTCCAAACTATGATATTACAGACGAATATTTTGGTCCCTTTAGGATTTTTATCTATCCATCCTATCTATTAGCTTATAGTATAATCTGGAATCAAATACTAGCAAACAATTTCTTAAAAAAATAATCATTGTAAAAAGCATTTTAAAATTATATAACCTCAAATTGATTAAACATTAAGGGATCTTCCACATGGTCTTAACATGCGGTCATTTTCTTGGACTAATGTCATATTCCGATCAATATACTTATCATTTCGAATGAAAATGAATCAATGAATACATACGAGCACCTTTTTGTACAATATATAAGTATATGGTAAAATATTTTGAAATTCCTTTCTCAAAGGGCGAAAAACTGTGGTATACGATTTTAACGTGTTTCGATTTTCTTCTATCCCATTGTCAAAAAGCTAAGTATGTAAAATTAATAAAATTATAAGTTCTATCGATTTCGAATAACCCACAAAGCTCTCAGAAAATGGAATTCAAGAAAGTTATATGCAAGAAAACTTGCCGCTTTTTGACATTGACTATTCGGAAAGCAGAAAGCCCTCCTGCTCCGATTTTATAGAAAGTGCCCCTGCTCAGCATCAATTTGGGAACAAAAAAGAATAGATATTGATATGCGTTTTTTTTTTTATCATATCTAAGAGCTTACAACAGTTAGAGACTCTGAATGTAGGCTAGAATATTGCACTTTTTTGATAACTCACTGCGATCCCCCCAGAATGATCTCATTTTTGAAGGCATAGCCTTATGCTTTGGTATTTATGCACACTCGGATCGCATAGTTAACCCCTTGAAAATAAAAGAAACATTGAACAATAAGCATCAAATTAACTGAGGAACACATTGCCCATATTGGGGGGCCTACAAAATAGTAAGCATAGCTTCTGCTTATTTGTATTTTTGTGAATAAACATACATATGTAAAGAAAAGGGTGCTCATGTATTGAAAGGCTCTGCTTTCAGGGCATCTGCAAGTCAGGCACTCCCAACAGGAGAACATCTACTTATTTGATTTTAATTATCGCGGAACCTTATAGAGGGTTACTGTTGGCCTAGAACATATCCACCATGAAATTCCCGTGGCGCGTGACCAACGAAATATGCCGCAAAGCCTGCCCCTGCAAAATATTTCATATTTTCATACAAATTTAATTGAGTGGTCGTTGCCTGGAACTCATCTGGCGCTGTTGCTTCTGCTGGTGATGGGGCAACGCACCACGCCAGCACCCCAGCACGCCCAAAAATTAAGCATTCATAATAAATGACATGAGTCGCTGTTCGAGTCGTTTATTTGGGGGGTGATTGAGCTCTGACTGGCTGGCTGACTGGCTGGCTGGGGCGCTGTTTGTCAAATGCCGTCTGCTGAGCTGGCTCGTTTCATTGCCTAGATTCTGGGCCAGGCGCGATTGTTGTGCGTTTTTGCGAGGCAAGCAAATGTAAAATGCCAGTCAGCCAGCAAAAGGCACGAGCCAAAAAGATTCCAACGAATCAAATAGAAAAAAAAGGAAAAAATGGATACGCAACAAGTTGCCTGCGCCTTGTTGTCATATTCAACGGAAATTGTGAACGCAGCCAAGTCAATAACTAGTGATTGACACACTGAACTTTGGCGCTGGTCTTGCTATCTGCTGCTGGCCGTTAGACAAATAAACAAGACAGCCTGCCTGCCTGCCTGCGGGATAGGACACTCTAAGGCTTTCAAACTAATTGGGGGAAAGTTGGTGGCTGTGGCAACAACGAGAACAAACAAACAACAGCAGCAGGAAAATCGATAGATGCTTATGGATTTGTTTGCTGAGTGCATCAATGTATCTGAATCTTGAGCCCGCACACAGCAGCAGCAGTAGCAGCCGGAGCAGCAGAGGAGCAAAGGAGCTGAAGAAGCGAGCTCAGCAAATCAAACAAAGCACAACACATACAAACATATTTGCCATGTGAAAACCAAAGTCAAAGGCAACCAGCAGCCGCAGGCGAATATTTGAAGATGCCTGCTGGAAATCAAAATGAATGTATCTCACAGATACAGATACTGCTACAGCTACAGCTACAGATACAGCTACACATTCGTTGCGCTGTTGACACAGAACCATTCAATTTATTTTGCACTCATTAAAGGTCAAAACGACGTCAAACCTGCAGCTCGGACGTTCTTTTGAGGGTGTAAATTAAGTGCTTAGCCGTGTCTAATGCCAAATGTCGTTTGTGGCCTGTCTGACACTTGTTACACAACACACTAACTGGACTGACTGGATGACAGATTGACTGACTAACTGACGGACTGAATGACTGACTGACTGACTGACTGACAGCTGTACCACATGCACAACCCAAACTCTCCCTCAAGTTTTTCCCACTTGCTTTGAGAGAAGCCCAGGACATATGCGTTTAATAATCAGCGGGAAACTCAGCTCTCTTGGGATTGACATACGCGTACTTCGACTTCGAGTTGGTAATGTTTATTGCCATTGCGAAAAACTCGAAGAGCTTTAAGCTGTTAACGCTCAAAGTTCCTTTTTCAATATATAAATTATTGAACTCGAACATTAAGCTAAGATAGTTGAAGACAATCTGCGAGGCTTGGGTTTGTCTAGAGTGCCGTGCAACGTCGGATAATTATTTCAATGAACATTTAAATTTAATAGGCTTAAAATAATCGATTTCGGCTTCTATAAAAGCAATATTATGATTAAATGATCCTATCAAAGTTATAGCCGACTCACAACTGAACTTCGAATCTTAAAAGTAAATTTAAGTGAAAAAAAAGCCACCAATTTTAGTTTTAATTATTATGCTTGCTACTATTTTAAAATAAGAATATCCAAGCTTAGTTGGGGTTTGAATTCTCTTCTTTATTGCATTATAGATTTCGTGACAAAATAATAATATCCTTTGGCAGTGTATAAAGCCGAGGTTAAGCTCACAGAAGTAATACATAATTTCTTTTCTGAATACACATTGCACGCATTATCCAGGGCTTTCTGCTGAAGTCTGGATGTCCGTTGAAACCCTTTTAAAAGGATTGCAAACGAATAAAATCTTCATTACAAGCTCATTAAATGGCTTCGCATTCAGATTTTCCGTAATTGCAGCTCGTCAAAGAGCTGTGTGCATATGAATAGAATTTTTGCTCTAAAAAATATATATTTATAAATTCATGCACATGTGCATGTGTAAGTGTGAACACAAATATATGTATGCGTACATAAAAACTGTGTACAGAGACATGAAACACATATGATTATTCGGATGCGCAGTGGGAGCATGTGACATGGCTCGCATCGTTGCATTGCCCATAAATCTTGCTCATAGTCAACAAAAATTATGCAAGCGTAAAAAAACCAGTGCGAATGTCTTAGTCGAAAGTGCACGACCAGAAGATACCGTGTAAGCAGCCACTGAAAATGTATGTAAGTGATAGAGGGATGAATTTTCGACTCTATAAAGAAAATAGGTTGACGTCTGTGTGAACGCATAGGGATTAGGAATTTTGGATTTTTAAGTATATTCTCATATATTCGCAGAACAAGTAAATCTTTTACATTTTTCGAGAAAAGATTGAAAAGCATCGATTTTGAGACATGATTTTTTATCTCGAAAACAACAAGTGCTATTTACAATAATTTTAGTTTGTGGGCTCTCGTATATACAGACTCAGAATATATCCCTTCTCCACAAAATATAAAATAATATAATTTTTAAGGCCAGAACGTTGCCATTGCTTTATAAATGCATTAAATAGGCATACTTAAGTCCTGAAAATTCAATAAGAATCGGACAATAAGGACCGAAGCTATTCAGTTCCCTATGGTATAAGACAGAGAGAAGAAGAATCACGGCCGAAGCATTAATTAGTCGGGGGTCTCTGTGTGTTGGGCTTCAGGTATCTTCCAGTCGGTCATTCCAGACTATAGCCTTCTTAGTTGTTTATTTACCCGAATGTATTTGAGTTTTCCTAAGTCATTTTGCAAGAAAAAAACCCTTTTTGATAAGACATTTACTTTTGTAAGGCAACTGTTCTGGAAAAGCTGGCCAATAATGAGTTTATTCTCAAGTATTGCGAACGAGGAGTTAAACTAAAGCCTCTAAAGAATCGCACCACGATAACTTAAACTGACTAGTGAACAATGTTCCTTAACATATTGTAATTTGTTCTCTCTGTTTATATTTCGATTAATGCGAATTGCCCAGCCCAAGGTTGACACTGCGGCATTTTCTGGTGGGTTTTGCTTTAATTTTAATGGCACTGCAATTACAAGCGCCCGTCAATATTGACAGAGTAAATTGGAGGCGTGCTCTGTTGGCCAGAGCTGGCTGGGTCAGAGTGCCGCCTGTAGGCCATGGCAGTGCATTCTGTGGCAGTGGACATTGTGCTGATAGCCGAGGACTTTTAATAAGCGCTATTTAAGCGCAGTTTACTCTGAATAGATAGATAGATATGGATATAGATATACATGTAAGAGTAAATGGCTGGAAGACGGATGAAGTGTTCTTGGTAGACTTTGAAGGGCTTTATTGCTGCACTAGGCACAAGGCAGCAGGCACGAGGAGCACACAATGTATACTATCTAATATTTGTTGCTTTCATGGTCTCCCGCAGTGATCCGCCCGTTCTGCAGGCGCACAACAATACGGACATCATACTGCGTTTACCCATGGGCAAAAGGATTAAGGACATTCGATGGCTCTCGGTGTGGTGCAGACGCTTTACGGTAAGTTTTTCCCATTTTCCCATTTTTCCATTTTGCCGCTTTTCTCGGCAGCTCGAAACGGCACGCGCCGTCCGAACAGATTTATGTGTGTATTTTGTGAGCGGACCCAAAACCATTTTGTAATTACATTTTTGTAATTTAACTGCAGTTGCTAAAAAGGTTTTTCTTTTCTCCAGTTTTTTTTTTTTTTTTTTTTTTTTCTTGCATTATGCTATTTTAGAGAAGCGTTGCAAGCATCGATTTTCTTTTGTTTTTTTTTCGGTTTTCCCTGCTTCAGCTGGATGTGGGTCAGTTTTGTCAGCCAAGTGGAAAGTTTGTTTTCATTAGACTTTTTGGATTTGTAATTACATTTCTGCATAGGCAACCGCGCTTCCGTAACCGAAGAGCCGGCTGACTCCATTTTATAGAGTACATACACAAAAATGAGTTTATCCTCGTTGCTGAACTGAGAATTCATTTTCTTTTAGGCAAACAGAAATGCATTTTAATTAAAAATAAAATAATACTTTAAATATTATTGCTACTCTTGCTAAACAACATTCGCTCGCCTAATGATAATGGGGGGAGGCGGACGCGGCTGGAGCTGGGGCTGGGCGGAAGGAGCTGTGAAAGTTAAAGATGGCCGCCATAGTAAAATAAATTACAGCAGACATTTTTGATTAACTCAAGTGGTTGCATATACACAAACACAAGCACGCGCTCTCCCACACAGTCTCCCAAAGACTCACACACACACGCCCGAATAGCAAGGAATTATACAGGGTGTCGAGCTGTTACTGTTTTAAATACGTATACTGTTTCATATGTGTGTGTGTGTGTGTGTGTGTGTGTGTGTGTTTGTCTATGTATTTGTGTTACGCACGCTCTCTGTTTCTCCGCTTCCATTGACTGACAGCCAAAAAAGTTCTTGGGGGCTGACTTACACACACACACACACAAGTACAGGCTGTCCAGATTGGGGGTATGTTCCTGTGTGTGTGTGTGTGTGTGTGTTGTTTTATGGAGCTCTGCGCGCGCATGCCCATTTTTTGGGGGGCCCTCACAGACCAGTTAACATGCATGTATATAAGCCTTATATATATAGAAACGTTTTGGTATACAACAACAACAAAAACAATGCACGAAATTACCTCGAACTAACTAATACACTACTTTTCATTTAATATTTAAATTTGACTTGAATGCAACAAACATATGAATATATATTTATTTTGTTACAGGTCGATTTTGGTGAGGTCTTCATACCGCCTGGCCTAGATGTGCCCAAGCCGCGAGTACTGCCGGAATTTAGGCGTCTGGCCCATGGACTCCGTTCCAGCAACATAAGCGTTCTGGACGCAAAGACATTCTATATGTAGGCAAGTTTTGATAGTCGCAAATTGTGTATCTATAATATTTATATTACAGTCCCAACCTGCACTATGACGGCGCTGGACCCGATGCCTATTTCTGGGTGGGCAATGGAAGCGAGCCGAATCTCATGGGCATTAAGGTTTGCATAGTTTCTTATGCTTATATATAATCTCAAGACTACGCCTTTCTTCGAAAGTATTTTTTTGTGAAGTCCCGTGCACCTAGTTTTATGCAAAACAGAGTTGGACGAAGTAACTTTTGTCTTTGAGCAGTTTTAAAACTAAACTTTTTTGGCAAAATCTTTTTGAAGAGAGCACATTTAAATCATATTGTACTTACATTTTGATTGATATCTTAAACATCTCACAAATCTAACTTGTACAACTTTCTGCTATTTCTTAAACACATCCCATAAATATATTTTGATGTATTAAAATTACCTTAATCAGAGCAACTAAATGCAGTATCCTTTAAAAGATTGAAGAAACCTAGAGACGGGTTTAACTATATAAAGTTAAATCTTGATTATTCTAGCTGTTACATATATATAATAATATTCAATACATAAAATTCATGGGATCAGAGATGACTCCATCTGCATAAATTTTCACAAGAGCATCATACTCTCCATTTTAAGTGGGTTCAGGGTATAAAAATGATATATTATCCAATTGGAATACAGAGATATTAACCAATTTATGCTTGACTTAACTATTTTCTAGGTGCCCAATGAGGTTGGATCGTTGGACCCGTTGCGCAGCTATCAGGGCGAGGATATTGAGATTCAGCTGCCCGGCAGCTTGACCGTATACGATATTGACTGGCTGTCGGTGTGGTGTGTGGAGTATAGGCACAACTTTGGACACGTCTTCATACCCAAGGACCTGGATGTGCCGCCAGCATTGGGTCAGACGAAAATCACGGTAGGTGCCCTTAAAGCCAACAAGTGGAATTTGAGACACACATAATTTACGCACACGCACACTAACACACACACACGCACACACACCTGTACTTAACCATATGCTCATTCCCACATAACTCACAATTATATATCTATTTAACCCATACGCGCCGCATCAGCCTTCATGGTGGTATTCACCCGTAAGTACTAGACCCAGCCTCATGCATGCTGCCTCATTGTTTTTGGAACTTTGTTGAATCTTAGATTTGGCCTCTTTTCATTGCAGACTACGACAACGCCGCGGCCCGTCTACTCCAATTGCCGCGAGGTTCTGCCCAACAAGTTGCAGGTCAAATGGGAACTGCAGGGTGAATATATACAGATCGAGCTGTTTGGACGCATCACGGAGGATCAGTATATGGCCTTTGGCCTATCCGGCGCAAATGGACGCCCCCAAATGGCACAGTCCGACGTTGTGGTGGCCTTTTACGATACAAACGCTCGAGTGTTCCGTGCCGAGGACTATTTCATTTCGGATTTATCACAGTGCGATGGTCAGCGTGGCGTCTGTCCCGACGAGCGCATCGGAGCACGCAATAATGTGATTGTGGGTAGGTAAAGAGTTCAGATTCCATTGGTCAAGTTTTCCAAGAATTACCATCTGCAGTAAGCGGGGATCGCAAGAGCGGCGTCACCAGCATTCGCTACAAGCGCCTGCTGCAAACAAATGAGCCCATTTATGACATGCCCATACCCATTGATCGCGAGGTGTCGATCATAGCCGCCGTGGGACCACTCAATGCCCGCAAGGAGGCCAACGCGCACTCGCACACTGCCAGCGATCACAATCCCGACGACATACGCATCAACTTCTCGAAGCGGGTGAGTCCGAAACCAGCCCCACAACAAACTGCACCAACTGATCCCACTTTGAACTCGGTGTGCAGAACGATCATGCCTGCAAGAGCTCGCTGTACGATGTGAAGGATGAGAGCGGACCCAAGCCGTGGGCCACGCGCAAGATCGTGGGCGAGCACAAGTTCCGCGCCAGCATTGGAGCCACGGGTGGCAAGCGTGGCTATACAGCGATTACGAGCGTGCCCTCGTGGGGCATTGCCTGGTATATCAACGATCTGCTGATACCGGAAATAACTGTGGAGCGCGGCCAGACCTACGAGTTCATAATCGAAGGCGGCAACGATCCTGCACAGCCAGCCAGGTAGGTTCTTTTTGCGAGTGCTATTTGATCGATTGATGTCCAATTATGTCCACCAATAGATACCATCCGCTGTATATCACGGACTCGCCGGAGGGTGGTCTGGGCCAGAAGACGGGCCTGGAGGCGCGCAAGCAGAAGGCCTATGCGGGCGTTGAGTATGATGAGGATGGCAATGCCATACCCACAGGCGGTAAGTACTTCAAAACAAATCCTTGAGAATGCTCCTAACTTGAGACAAATTGCATCTCCAGTGGGCCGTTACTGCGAATGGGAGCACCGCACTGTCGATCGCTCGGCGGAGTTCGAGAACTTTGAGGACTTCAAGGGTACGCTGGTGTTCAAGTGCGAGGACGGCGAGCCGGGCTACATGAACTGGACGGTGCCCATGGATGCACCTGCCGTATTGTATTACCAGGTGAGTCCGCCAGCTCAGGCCACATGGAAATGTTCACCTATCTGTCTCCATTGCAGTGCTTCACCCACAACAATCTGGGCTGGAAGATAAACGTGGTGGACGCCGGCGCAAGTACCGCTCCGGCCAGCTTGCAGCTGGGCCGCAATCAGCTGCTCTTCTACATGATGCTAACAGTTTTAAGCCTGGTTGTAGGACGTTCCAGACTGGCGAGTCCTTTGCTTGCCTGATAGTCGGAACGCCAGTAAATTGTTGTAAAGTCATGTTCCAAGGTTTTCAGCAGATAATTCAGTTGCTTTGAGCATATCTTACACTCACACTTTACATATCCTTAACCATATTGAGTCTTTTTAACAAGTTTTCTAAACGAATTTATAATTTCATAAAACATATATATTAATATCGACTTCTCAAGCACCGAGGCAACTGTTTGCTGAAGATTTTGGAACATTTGAACGTATTCTACATAACAACCAGGCTAATATCATCTGAAAAACATATCTTCATAATAATTTATAAGGTGTAAAACTGTTGAAAACTATTGTGTGCGTGTGCAAATGGCAGTGGTGCGTACTTACTGCACCCACTGTAGCTGGCCGGGATTAGATGGAGGCGCAGCAAGAACTCTTTGTATATTTACGTGTATGGAATTCTACTTTTTTACGTGTATGCAGAACATACGAAACTTACTTATACATTTACATTTACAGTAAAATTGTAATTTTTCTAGCAACAACTACTACTTATACACATACATATACACATCTATATATATATATATATATATATATATATATATATATATCTATATAGATATATGTATTTATATATCTACTTAAAAAGCGGTTCTATGTAAATGTAAGCCGACAATAAAAACGCGACACGATGACAATAAATGAATGTGCGCAAAACAATATATTGAGCCGAAACTGAAGCTCAAATATGATTGTAAAATAAGGAATTAATAATGTTAAGAGTTTGGTAACGAGAGATATGACAATAAAACAAGGCATATGCAAATCTCAGTTTAATTGAGCAGAACAATACAATAAATACAATAAATGTACACATTTTAAATGTATGACAAAGCGAACAGAACAGAACACATACATATTATATATAGTATATATAGTATATATAGTATATATATTTACTAAAATATGGAATGGAGTTTATTTTTATTGCTACTGACTACTGTGGTGCTTCTTGTAATAAAAATATTATTGAGAATATTCAGGAGTAATAAAGTATAAATATATAGAGATGTGGCGTCAGCGTTTTTGTTATCAACTGTTTTTCTTGTAACTTTTTAACTCTTTGCATAATTGATGTTTTTTATAAATAAATGTATACATAACTTTTGTTCTTTGCTGTTTATACTTAATATGCATTATGTAAAGACAATAAAAACAATAATCGAATGTCGGATAATATGAATACTTATCAAAAAAAAAAGAAAAAAAGTCACTTGAGAAGTGCGTATTTAACGTGTATGAAAATGGAATATTTGACAATATTAATTAATTGAAATTAAGTAATGTTTGTACTGTATACCTTTTGGTAGTTGTACGTACGATTTGGGCATGGGTTTGATATATACAAAAGATAATGAAGAAAACAACAATAAAATAAATAAACTATTCAATATTTAGCATAAATAAAATGTATATACAAAATATATAGAAGAAATACACATTTGAAAGACTATTTCTAGCTCTTGAGAAACACTTGGAACATATATTTAGGAAAGTCTTTAGTACTCATCAGTCTGTTAAGTTTCTGTTGTGTGACTTTCTTGATACTCTTCCTTATTTTGTTTTGTAACGCTATAAAACTAGAAATGATTTCAACAATTTGCATTGATATTTAAGTGACCAGAAAACAGAGCTCAAATCCAGCAAATGGGCAACAAATAGCCATCAAATTATTAGAAATTTTGATAATAACATTTGAGATTTACGTATATACAGAGGTATAGGCTTACGACCTGGGGCTCGATTGAGTTTGTAAGGCAATTGAATATTTGTATAGATTATTTTGCAGCTAAGCGCACAAGAGTCCAACACAAAGAGGCAAAAAAAAAAAAAAAACAGCAACAAATATTAATAAAAATAAAAACAGAAACAAAAACTCGATTTATAAAAAAAAAAAACATTTGCGTATAGTATTTATTTAATCTACATGAATATAATACAAATTACATATTTACGACTCGAATATTGAATAATCCAAATACATAAATACATTTAAATATATATATATCAAAGTATTTTCATGTCGATTATAACACAGCACTTTCTGTACTTAAGTAATATTAGATAGCATTATTTCTCTGCAAAAAAAAAAAAAAAAAAAAAACAACTCTTATTGTCTTGCATTGAAATCTAAATCGAAACTAAATGAATTAAGTAAGCACCTAAATCCATAAGTATGTATATGCATGCGAAAAACTACTCCATTTTAAAAAGTTAATAAGCCTCAGACAATAATATACATATTGTAAATCCATCAAGTGGAAACCAAAACCGAAAAGGACGTTTAAAGGCGAACCCTGCGAAAACTAAGTGGTAGAAAATTGAAACATTGATGTCAATAAGCAGCTGCAAGAAAATTTAATTCAAAAACTGCTACAAAACATATTCTAGAAATAAACTTGAAAAAGTAAAAACAAAACAAAATTCGTATTCAATTCAATTCTCAATCTGGATGGACCCCGGACTTGCTTGCCATTCTTTCTTATTGTTGTTGATTTCTTGAATTTAGTGAAATTATATTAAATTTTGCAATTATCACATGGCAACCGGGCGATAGATAAGCTGTGACAGATGCGCACCGAATTGCTGACAACAGATGTTCCGAGCACCTGAGATACACTCAGGTGTCACCCCGTGAACCCCAACCTGCAGCTGCAGCCTGACACCAGATATTGTATACAAGTTTTTTGGGTATATAAGCAAGGCGTTGGCTGCCGAAAAAGCAACAGTCTTTAGGCATTGGATCCCAGTTGTGTGTCTAATCCGGAGCAGTTGAGCAGTTGAGCAGGAGCAGGAGTTACAAGGAGCCTTCAATCATGAAAATCGCCATTGCATTGCTGGCCTGTTTGGGTCTGGCCGCCGCGGCCAGTTTCCATAAGACGCACGAGGTGAAGATCGCCGACAAAGCCTTCCTGGAGAAACAGAAGTTTTTGTTCGAGATCGTCTACCGTGTGGAGGATCCTCTGATGTTCGAGGAGTACATCAAGAAGGGTGACAAATTCTACTTCGATGAGTCCTACTATACTGTAAGTTTTGCCCAGCGCAACTTAATTATCCTTCTAATCCGCTCCACATCTTTTCCAGCACTATGACATCTACATGAAGAAGTTCTACGAGGCGTACAAGGCACACTCTCTGCTGCCCAAGGGCGAGTTCTTCGGCCAGCTGGTCAAGTATCACGCCAAGCAGGCGCGCGGTCTGTTCAACTTCTTCTACTATGCCAAGGACTTCGAGACCTTCTTCCACAACGTGTGCTGGGCCCGTATGCACGTCAACGAGGGCATGTTCGTCTATGCTTTGACTCTGGCCGTCATCCATCGCCAGGACTTCCATGGCCTGATGCTGCCCTCCATCTATGAGATCTTCCCACAGTTCTTCTTCAACAGCAAATTCGTGTACGAGGCCGAGAAATTCGACTTTGAGATGTGGACCAAGATGAACATGTACGAGAAGGAGTACATGGATGTGTACTTCAAGGGACACAAGCAAGGCAACATGTATCAGAGCAGCGACTACATGTACATGAAGGACTGGAAGATGTGGCAGTGGTGGAAACTGATGGGTCTGGGCGAGCACTGGTACAACGAGAACAAGTTCATCCTTCGCGAGAACATCTACGAATTCAACCAGGACACCAAATGGCAGCAGATGATGAAGGACGTGAAGGTTTTCTATATGCCAGTTGACTACAGCCGTGATCTGGATTTCTACAACGAGGAGTCGAAACTGTCCTATTTCACCGAGGATTTGGGCTGGAACGCATACTGGTACTACTTCAACTTGGACTACTCCTTCTTCCTGGATGGCAACACCTTCGGCCTGAAGAACGATCGTCGTGGTGAGCTTTGGCTGTACACCGTCCACCAGCTGCTCTCTCGCTACTACATGGAGCGTCTGTCTCATGGCTATGGCGACATTCCCGAGTTCTCGTGGTACCACCAGATCGAGATGGGCTATGATCCTCAGCTGATCTACTACAACGGCATTGGCTACAGCTACCGCAAGAACTACTACGAGATGGAGACCTACGGCAACTTCGAGATGCTCGACAAGATCACCGGCTTCTTGAAGCGCATTCACAACATTGTCGAGACGGGCTACTACAAGACCGCCGATGGACACATGGTTGATCTGCGCAAGCCCGAGTCCATTGAGTACATTGGCAACATTCTGCAGGGCAATGTTGACAGCATGGACAAGATGTTCTACCAGTTCTGGTACATGTTCGCCCATATGTACTTCGCCGATACCGACTACTATCAGATGGAGGTCTACCCGAACGTGATGCTCAACTTCGAGACCATGATGCGTGATCCTATGTACTACATGTTCTACAAGTCAATCGCCCAGATCTACTTCAAGTTCATGCACTATCTGCCCAAATACACCAAGGAGCAATTGCTGATGCCCGGCGTAACTCTGAAGCATGTGGAGGTCAGCGAGCTGGTCACCTACTTCGATCTGGTTGACTTTGATGTGACCAACCTGATGAACGACAAGATGGTCTTCCATGAGGGCAAGTTCGTGTGGGATAAGTCGCTATACGCTCGCCAGATGCGTCTCAACCACAAGCCCTTCACCTACACCTACACCGTTGAGTCCGACAAGCCCGAGAAGGTTGTTGTGCGCGCATTCCTGGGACCCAAATTCGATGAATTCGGCCGCGTCATTTCACTGGCGGAGAACCGCATGAACTTCATGGAAGTGGATGAGTTCTACTACGAACTGAAGGCTGGCAGCAACATGATCACCCGCAACTCTAAGGACTTCTTCTGGACCGTGAAGGACCGCACCAGCTACAGCGAACTCTACTACTACACCATGATGGCCTTCGATGGCAAGTACAAATTCCCTCTGGACATCAGCGAGCCCCACTGCGGCTTCCCCGATCGCCTCATCTTGCCCATGGGCTGGAAGAAGGGCATGCCCATGCAAATGTTCTTCATGGTTATGCCATACACCGCACCCAGCACCCACGAACAGTTCTCCAACTTTGACTACACCTACTCTTGCGGCATTGGATCCGGCGCTCGCTTCATCGATGATCTGCCATTTGGATATCCCTTCGATCGCGAGATCGATGAGTACGAATTCTTCGTGCCCAACATGTACTTCAAGGATGTCCCCATCTACCATGTTGACACCATGGAGCCATACTACAAGTACAAGGGCTACACCAACTACGGCCAGTTCGACTACACTTTCTTCCGTGACTACTACACCAAGCATTTCAAGTTTTGAGTGGAACAATTAGCGGATTAGCCGGACACCTTTGATGATGAATACCGATCGCATATATGGATATGGTTGCAAAAGTTAGATTCTAAGTTGAGCAAAAAGTGAAATAAACTTTCGAAAAACACAAAACTGCATTTTATTTCTAACGTAATTTAACATACAAATATAATATGTATTACATTTCTCATAAGAATAATGTATAAAAGACAAATCAAACAAAAGCAAGACATACACACACAACAAGCATAAAAAAACTGCTGTCGCGTACTCTACATTCTATAAATTAAATAAAACATTAATCGCCAAAATAAGCATTTGCATGAAATCTCTTGTAGATTGTCTAAAATATTTACTTGGTGCACACAAACTCACCACCATTGAGTAATATCATTTTATGCTGCATACTCTGAGGGGCGTTGTTACATTTGTATGAGCTTATGATTCTCAAACGGTTCTAGCAGTGTGCCCATGGTATGCCAAGCTCAGAGCGGAGAAAATCATACTTACCTGGCGTAGAGGTTAACCGTGATCACGAAGGCGGTTCCTCCGGAGTGAGGCTTGGCCATTGCACATTCGGTTGAGTTGACCTCTGCGATTATTCCTAATGTGAATAACTCGTGCGTGTAATTTTTGGTAGCCGGGAATGGCGTTCGCGCCGTCCCGACATAATAAATACATATTCAACTGTTGAGATGGTTGCTACAATTGCATAGGTGTTAACTATATTGCATTGTGTGACCAGCGTGCAATAATATCGATATTATATTTTTATCGATACCATCGGCTGTAAAATACGGCAATCGCTGCAGCCCTGGTGATATTGCGCGCCAATATTCAAAAACCATCCCTCTCGCAATAGACGACAGAAGGATGAAATACTAATCGGGACAAATATTGCTGTCCTGTGAGGATTGTATATGGATGGCGTTCATCGATGAATTTGGAAATAGCTCATTAATAATGAAAATAGCATTATAGCCATGGATCGAACTACTATATCATATTCATACAGCTGCCATAGCAACGCCCGGATGCGCGAAAAGGTATGAACAATTTTTTGATTATCGAGATATCTTGGCCAAATTGGGCATTTATATGTCTCATATATATGCAATATTAACATCTGACCGCTAGATAGATATCATATAGCTGCCATAGGAACGATCGGTCGCGAATGAAGTTGTAAGTAGTACTTTTTAAAAATAAAATAAATGATCGAAGCTAAGGGAGGATGACTTTCCACGGATGCTTTTCTGCTAAATTAGATCTGTGAGGAAAAGGAAAATCGACAAAACTGAAACACAAGAGTTAGTTTTTATGCAATGCACGCTTTAATGAAAATATACTTGCGTTTGTATATTTGTAGATACGCTAGATTTTTATTTTACAGTTTATATTTATTATAATTTGTTTGTAATGTTTTAATTGGTAACATTATCGTGTCGCAACATTTGATGAACACAGTGTTTTTGTTGAACTTTCCTATTTTTTTCTGTTTTTTTATTTTTTTCTTTGCATACAAAATAATAATACGAATAATTTTGTTTGATGTAATGTAATAGTAATTAACGTAATAATGCATAATGTGTACAGACAGAAATGTAATATGTATGAAAGGCTGAGATAATTTTTAGAAATTTGCATTTGAATTATATGGTTTTTGTGTAAATGCGTAATATTTTCTTAATTGCGACAAACATATGAAACTGTACATATTTTTAGAATTTGTTTCCATTTTTTCTTTTTTTGTATGAATTAGTATTAAAATTAGTTTGTAAGCTCTAGATTTGGTAAAAAAAATACATAAATGTTGATTGATTGTTTGCCAGTACGAATGGGAAAACATAGTTGCTGCTCTTTTTGATATTGTTGTTAATGTTGCTACAGATACGCATTTAATATTAAAATTATGGTTCAATCTTATGTTTATACAGAATTACATATACACAGTTTAGGCAGCTGGCAGCTTAAATCAGTGCGATTTAATTAAATCAATCAATTAATTGTTACTGCGGGTTTTTTTTTTGTTGAATTCTTATTAAATTTGTTATGCAATCTTTGCTTTGAAAATAATTTATACAACAGACAAAATGTATAGGAAAGAAAATAACATTAAACTATGTATGACATGCAATTTGGGGTCTGTTGCATGTAATTGATATTGTAAATGTTTGCGTTTGATGAATAATTACTAAACAGTTGTAAGATAGCAATTAAAGCAATTAACTTTTACAAAATACATATGTAATTTACTTTCATTTTAAATAATATGTTTCTTGTATTTCTCCATTAATACATTTATAATTAATTAATTAATTATAATAAATAAAGCCTAGTTTTAATGCCTGCTTCAAACTTCGACATTGTTCAATTACTACAAATACATATTTACTTTAAAGATGTGCACATACATATACATATATTTAATCTAAATTATCCTGGAAAATTAATTTAATGTAGCCAGTCGCGCCATCCAGCGGTGTCGCACAGAAAGGACAAACGGCCTGAAAGCCGTTGGTTCCGTGCGGTATTTCCACATTTGCCCAGTACCTGAACAGGAAATAACCAGATAATTTTTGGAGGATTTCTTTAGAATTCGAATTTAGCTTACTTGACAGTTTTCTCAGTCGCCATGTGTCCACATGGATTGAATGCGAACGTGGGTGCGCCCACGTCCACATAGAAGGCCGGCTCTAGGCCCATGCACAAGGTAACAACAGGACCCAGTTCTAGGCACATGGGACAACGGCGAGCACCAGTATTCTCATCCTGACCCCAGTCATGATGACCTGTTGGCGGACAACGAAAGCGTTAAATTGAATAGTTCTCTTCATTAAATAGGCTGTCAACTTACCCTGCACATGGCCGCAGTTTAAGTACACATAAGGCTGATTCACCTGATCACTGATATTCACTTTGCGTGGTATAACCAGTGTATTAAGGCCAACCGGGCACTGTGGACGACCAGCGTTAATGGCATCGATAAGCTTTTCCAAATCGTGTTTGGTCTGTGATTGGGCACAAACTTTTAAAGTCAACGAAAATTGGTTAATTTTGATTATTTGAATTACCGGTGAATGTTGCAATCCCTCGGCGGAACGCCAGAGCAACGTTGCGCCGCAGAGATCAATGAGTGTGCCATCCTGCAAGATGTTGCATTCATCGTAGATCTGTAAATATAATATGTGTATATATATAATTATTGCCCTGCTAAGTATATATGTATGTATTTTACTTACGGGCTGACCCTTTTGTTGTGCCGAACGCGACTCACGCAGGCTGAAAACATCGCCACCCACGGAGCATTCGCGCCAGAGTCCGCACTTGGCATTGCCGCCACAGAACGAGCCTTTGGGATGCATTATTAAAACGCCATTTGTGGTCAGGCCGTCGATTTCCACATTGTCCTGCCACTTGGTGGCCTTTTCCTGCATGTGTATATTGACGCTTATTAGCATGAAAATTGGTTTACTTATTGTTCACTTTGACTTACGCCCAAGAATATATTTCTGCTCGAATCGAAGCCGGCGGCAAAGATTTTCGCCTTGGCGGGCTCACAGCGATTAACCAAAATGCGGCAGGCGAAACGTGAAATCGTGCTCTGCATCACCTTCGCGTCCTTCTTATCACCGGGCAGCGTATCCATTACAACAAAATCAATGGGCGATTCTGACGAACGTCCCACCTGAAAAGGTTGAGCAATGGTCTGATTAGTTGCCCATCGATTGACCCAAAAATATCTCCACACACACACACACACAGGCCCGCATATTTAATGTCGTTTGAGTCATCAATCTATCAATGTTCAAATAAATGCCAAATCATGCGATATTGGTATTTCACTTCAATCCAACAAGGAAGTGCAAATGGATTTGGACGCGTCGACAGGCCGTAATCAATATAACATATATATAACAAATGGGAATAGTTTTATTTTATGTCGAATCGTTGCCGGGCAATGTCACAGCGAACGCAAATTATCTGACAATTGACCTTTCCAAAGCACCAGCTCTTCAAATACTCTATCAGCAAGGCCTGAAGCACATTTCAAGCAGCATCAAACAAAACCGGAGCTGTTATTGGATGCTTAAACTAAGTTAATAGATCCCAAGCCCCACGCAATGTCTTCTTTCTACTTCCCTTCCCTCCTAAGGAAGGGCTCTGCCTTCAGAAATGATTTTATTTTTCCAAGTTTTGGAAGGAAACGGAATTGTTCTTAATCTATGTCTACCCACATAACAAGTTTGTAGTATAAGAGTTATTCGAAAACATATAATAGTCTCACCTGAAACATATCCGTTTCTGTGTCCTCCTTGTACTCGACTATGACAGCCTGGTTACGTGAGAGTGTATACGATATCGAGTGCTGGTTGGCATCCAGTATGGCCTTCGATGTCTGTGGTGATTGTACGATGTAATGCTTGGAGCGCTTGACGCCGCTCGGCTCCGTGCGCTTGTGCAACACGAATTTGGAGCGTCGACGACCGCGATCGCCCTGTGGCAAGTAGCCATTGTAGCTGCAACGAGAGGGAGAGAAACGAAGCAGCAATGTACTCTATGTGTATTTGACGTTCTTTATGATAAGAGACCCCATTTGGGGGCAACATTATTACGCAACAGACACACAACACAATTTGTTTCGTACAGTTTATAGGTCAAGTTCTGCGTCGGCCAATGTGTTTACACAATTAGCCATGCCCCGCCCTTTAGCCACGGATAATGAGCTCAAAGAACTTAAGAGCATTTGCTTTTTCATCGACTGAATTAGTTAATTGCCAGATCATTAGTGGAATTCTATTCGATTCTACCTACATAAGTCTTTAAGTTGTCAAATGCTGTGCGCCATAAAAGATCTCTTAATGGCATGCGCAGCTGTCGGATCACACGCACAGCGCCCATCAAAGGGTTCCTTTTATTATTGCTGCTTGGGTAGTTGGAAGGGGGAAGAGAGGGGTAGAGACTGAAATATTGAATAACCTGTCTGTGCAGTTGGAATGTATCTTATAATCATTTTCTTATTCAAAATATGATCTTAACAATAGCTGCTTTTCCTTTTCCACCTTTCCATTTCCACTCATTTTACAAAACTATTTTCTTTATTTAATAAATCAACTCTTAAGAGCACACAAATTGATAATACAATATCCAATATAGATACTAAAAATATACACATTTGTGCAAAGATATCTCAACAAATATCGCCGGACAGCTTCATTTCTAGCCAACTCTTGACAATTTAATGAGCTGATAGCCCACGTCAAATATCAATAATAATGTATGCGACTTTATTAACAAGCATTTGGAGATTGTGCAACAATTTCTTTAGAATAACTTATCTAACATGGGAAACATATAAAGTTCGAAACGAAACACTCTAAGCATCGAGCTTGGACAACGGAAATGTTGACATTTGAAGTTCGTAATTGTGGGGACGCTAATGTTTTTCAAATGATGATATATTAGTGGACGCATTGAAGAAGTTGTAAATGATATTTAACGAGCTGACAGTGGCACGACAAGCAAAAGAAACAAAAACATGAACAATTAGAAGTTGGTTGGGCTATAAATACCAAAGGCCGTCGACATATATGTATATCTCATATTTCATATATCGCAGTGCAGCAGGAAGAAGTCTATCAAGTGGGCGGTAAATGGAGAGTAAACGATTTCGCCTGTTGATTGCCCCAGTCCGTGGCAAAGGCAAACAAAGCGCGCTCCAAAAGTGAAAAATTGATTTGCTGACGCACAATAAGCCAAAGACGACCCGCCTCCGTCGGGCTGCTGCCCCAGACTAGACTTGTTAGGATGCAGGAACAAGCAGAAGATATACATATAGAGCATTGAGTCAGGCACTCGGCTGGCCCACAATTCATGTGTGAGTCAACCGGCGCGCCAGGTAATCAGCGCAATGTCAAGCGTTTTGGCCGGACAGCTGGACGGCCGCCATCAAGATTTACAAGCGTCCGACGCAGCTGCCGGCCAAAATCATCAATCTTGGCCAGCGGCCGGCTGCAGCGTGAATCTAATTTATGTGGCTAACTGGCGAGGCGAGCAGCTCGCCCGAGCTGGTTGCGGCTTACAACGCAGTCGAACAAGCGTTAAGCCTTTTGTTTCATACTGCTGTGGCCTAGCACGGGTCAGGTAACACGCCACGCCACGCCACGCCACGCACACTGGGACAAGAGCATGTTTGTACGCAACGAAAACTGACAGTGCTTCATTTGAATGTAAATGTGAACATTAGTCTTGAACTAATACCAGCGACTACTTTTAAGATAATTCAACAATACTTTGAAAGTTTTGGTGAAAATTTCCAAATGGAAAGTCAATAGATATTGCAACAATTAATGTATTGAAAATAATGAAACAATTGTGTATGCATTTCGGACTTAATGTTGGCATATTAAAATCGAACATTAACTTACCCAAGTATAACTAATTCTCCATATCGCAAACGGGGTTTGTCGTGCCCATCGCCAGCGTCTTCAGCCAGTATGGGAGATTCTGTGCCGTCGGTGCTGCAAATGCAAATAAATATTGATAAGTCCAAATTAGATCCAGTTGTTTATTGTTAAGAAAAGTTAAGTCTGAAAAATATCTTACTTAATACATGCAGGGTATGGACACAAAACAAATGTAATATAATAAAAGAAGGTTCACCTTTTTGTTGTTGTTGTTGTTGTCTTTTGTTTTCTGAAGCAAAACTAAGGCAAAACAATTTTAAAATGCACAAATGCCAAAGAAATGGCTCAATTCAAAGCATTTTCTTGCTGCCAGTCGTAGAATTTGAAATGAGGAAATATCTGAGGCGTCTGTCTCCTCGATGTCTGGCATTGTGCGGAGTGCTTTACAATTCCAGTTTTGCAGCTCGTCCGTCTCATTGTTCGACTCATTGGCATGTCAATTTGACACTGACTTTGCCAGTGGAAGTCATAGAAATTGCCCTACAATAACACCTCGAGTTACCTTTCGAATCCGCACTATAAGCTATAAGATTGCCCGTAATGAGAGCAGGCGATGGGATAGATAACTGAGTGTTTCATTAGCCTGAGAACCGGATAGATTCGTACTTGCAGTAGATGCTTTTTTTTTTTTTTTGGGGCACGTCATAAACTTATTTACAGCAATCTAATAAAGCAGCACGGCGCCGGTTGACGCCCACACAAACAAGGGGCGCCACAGCCCGCCGACATGGCAACTGGCAACTGGCAACTGGCAACGGGCAAATGGATTTTACCCCGGCCTGGCTGTGGATTGGACTGGGCCAGGGTTTGGCATGGGGGATGGGCTGGACTGACTGCTGCTTTGGGGTTGCATTGATTTTTGCTCGTTGCATTTAAACTTGCTCCCCTTTTGGCCTGCTGGCGGCGGGGTGCGGTATGCGGGGCGGGTACTTGAAATTGTGCAGCGCAGACTGAAATTGTGCGCATAAAGAGCGTGAGCGGGGCAGGGGGGGGGGGGTTGGCAGCGGGGCACACAGACTGTGGCGCGTGCAAGGTAAATAGGAATGTGGCATGTCTGTCGCCCTGTCGGTAGGCATCAAATTAGCGCTGCAGCCTTGTTTAGATGCACACAAGTACATGTATAAATGTATATGTATGTATATTATGCATATATACAGTACAGTCTGATTTAAGGCTTTAGCTAAACGAGAAGCTGACGCATAAATCAAATGGAAAAGTCATTAACAGCGAGCGCATCAGGCTCTGCTAACAGTTGACTGTTAACTGTTGACTTTCATGTCTGCACTGTTAACTGTGAACTGTAAGCCTCTGGTCTGCAGCGCTGTTAATTAACATCTCGGCCTGCTTTTGCCCCAAGAGCTTCATCTCTGCATGTTGCCCGCAGACAATGTGGCCAAACTGCATTTGAGCGCATAATTTGCATCTGATTGTCTCAGTTGCAAGATAACATAGTTATCATGTTAACAGTGGCAGCTCTTTACATAACAATTATGTTAATTGCCTTGTAGTACAACTTTTGGATATACCTTGAGCCCTGCATTCAAATGTGTGCCTATTTTGAAAAATGAAAAATGTAAATTTCAATTGTAAAACATACTTCGGTCACACTTGCACAGTCTGTTGGCAAAATAAGCAATTTGTGGGCACATTACACACGGAAAATATGGGTGTAATATGCATTTTGCTTAATTATCGAGACCCTTTTCATTGATTTCTTAAACGCAAACCATATTTCAAATGTGCAATAATTCAGGCAATACTAATTATAACAAATCGGAAAAGTAGAGCTGCGCTTTTTAGAACTTCCAACATAAACAAGCCCACAAAACAAAACAAAATAAATAAATAATGCCAAAAAGTGCTGTAAATTCCAATTTGAGTGAAAGTATTATAAACAAACACAACAGGCTCTTGGCGGCCAAAGTCCTCAGCTTTGAATTGGAGATGTTTGCAATCAACTGCAACTGTTGTAGACAATGCAGCTCAAAATAAAACTAGGTTAAATTGATTAGGCATACGCATTACTTCTAATTGTGGCGCTCCAAGTGCCGCTATCTGGCATATACAATATACATTTAATTTAATTAACAAACAACACTTTTTTAAAGAGCGCACAAAGCCAAACAAATACGTTTTGTCACAAGGCAAAGCGTAAACAATCCGATACACTTTTGCAATATAGTATGTAGCCGACTTAAATTAATGTAAATATTTGGACAAAAAGCAGCACAAAATAATTGACAGAAATATGCGTGCAGCATAATGTGGGCTATCCAAATGGTGCAATTGTCATGTGCCGACAAAAGGGCCACACACACACACATAAATCTCAATTCTTAAAAGCATTCATAAATTTATCAGCTACAAAAATAACAAATCAAAGTTCTCTAGTCGGCCATGCCCGATCACAAAATACCCTGTACGCTGAGTCAAGCTGCCATTATCAACATTTTTCAGAGCCAAAATATGGAACTAAAACGAAGCTCAAAGAAATCGCAAAATTGTTCGTTCTAAAAGCGTGATCTAAATACCGATATTTAAGGATTTCGTGGAATCAGAGAGAAGTACATATGATTTATAAGAAACTTGGCATTAAGAGGTCCCCAATTTGAAGTGCTTCGCTCTCATAGTCCCCAACATTGACGAGCTCACCCAGACGGAAGGATGGACATGGTTCAGTTACATCAGCTCCCCCTTATAAAGAATGATATTCATGCTGGGTTCGAAGATGCCTCCTAGTCAATCAATATGCCCACCCCTTTGCAATGGGTTAAGGGTATCAAAGCAAACTATTCGCTGTTCTTGTTCGACAATCAGCTGTTTGTATCGCCAGAGAGCTTATCGATTTTCAAACTAAGAATGAAAGAGTAAAGTCATTTGCATATATTTCAATTTGAAAGCTAAGTGTATATAGTATATTGCGATAGAGTTGTATACAAAATTGAGTTTAACACGCACACGACCGAACGTATCCGTGAGATACGGCGCGACACACTGTTAGATACCAACGCGTCGCTAGCGCATGTATCTGTATCTGTGCCTGTATCCGGCGTATCTTTGTCTGTTTAGTTGCCAGCGCTATTTGTGGGAAATCAATTTTTATACACGTCTGTGTGTGGTGTGTGTGTGTTTGAAAGGCTTATAAATGTATATTATTATTTACCTTAGACACACACACACACATACGAATACACGCTTAGCCATTGCCTGACAACATGCTGCAATCGATATTTTTTTCTTGTTAGCTGTTTTTGCCGTGTTTGCCACATGCAACCCAAATGGCCCGGCAATCGCATTACAATAAATTCTCCATTTCAGCGCTGAAACAAAACAAAAAAGCGACCAGTGCATGTGTTAACAAGTGCAGTAGAGCCCCGCAAAGAGCAAATGTCAGGAACAGGGCGAACAGAGCACACACAAAATCAGGCCAGTTTGCAGGGCACACAGGAGCGCGGTCGTGGTTCAGTCGGCCCGCTTTTAATGTCAGGAATGCAAGTGCACACTATATGTGCATTAATTTAATTATTTTCGCTACATATATTTCATGCATTCATTTGATTACACGCACAGCTGCGTAGCGTAGGTAGTTGCTAATGACTACCTTTAATTGGCATTGCCAAAGGCTTTTAGCTAATTTAGTTCAGCCTTAGCCCATTGTTAGGCCAAGTCCGGCGAAAGCACCGAAAGCCCAATTCAAATGAACGATGTGCTGCTGCACATGCTGCACACTAATACATTAACAGCCTTTGCTAGTATGCGTGAGCTTTTAAAAGCTCATCCATCTCAGCCATCAACTCGGCTGTTCTTCCATTGGGCCAGAGCGTAACTGTGAGAAGCGTATGTGTGTATGCTAATTGTATGTTGATATAATCTTATGACTCATTAAGGCTTTTGCCAAATATTTTCAAAACTTTTTCATTAGCTGTTGGTGCTTTTCTAATCAGAGAAGCGTTGCTTTTTTCAGAGAAAGAAAGTTTTGTTTGATAGAAGCAAGATTCTGCACTTAGAAATGTTTACGCTCTTAGTTTTAAATCTGACAACACAACAGCTGCAGCTTCTTTTTGACTATTTGCATAGGTAAATGCGCGAATAAATATTTTTGTTTTAAGCGCTGCTCCCTGTACGCCAACCGAGCATGAACTATGGTTTACTTCAAATAAACATAAATACATAGGAGCATATACCTGTGCATTTGATGTTTGCTCGGGTAGCTGAAATTTGAGCTGAATGTGAGCATGTCAAATGTCTGCTGAATAACTGAAATATGCAACCTGCAACTTCGTCGGCTGTCAGCAAAAGTGCAAATGAAAGATTAAACAATAAACAAGGCAACAATGGCATGGGGTGCCACGACAAACAGATAGCGAGAGAGGGAGCGAGAGAGAGAGAGAGAGAGAGACGGAAGACACTTGGCGCAGGTGCCCAATGATGCCCTGATGCATGGCAGGTGTTTCTTTACCATATTTTATGTCCAAATTTGTGGCTGTGCTTCGCTTGCTTGGATGGCACTTCACTATGCTTCATTCATATGCCAAAGGTGTAGCAGCTGAATTTGTATCTGTATCTGCAACTGTCTGTGTATCTGTGGCCATTATATGTATATCTGGCGGCCTTTGGCACAGCTGTTTGCATTTCAAGAATGAAATTCTCAACGTGCAGATACAAAAGCGAATAACCAGACTGAGCCAAATGGCAAAAAAAAAAAACAAGACACACACACAAAAAATAAACTCGTTCTTCCAGCGAAATTTCGAGCATAAAGCGTGGAGGGAGCAACAAATTGCAGAGCATAAAATATGCGCAGCTGAAATCCAAAAATAATTCACAAGCCACGAGATTGTTTTCAAAGAAACAGCTAGAACTTGGCAGGCAAGCACACAGATTAAGCTACAAATGCATGCATATAGATACAGAGATACAGATAAAGATACAGATACAGAGACAGATACAGACAGAGATACAGATACAAGTCGGTCAGTTAGGTTAGGCTGTCAGTCAGCGTCCGTCTCACGCACACGGTTGACACGCCCTTTGCCCTTAGCTGGGGGGCTTGT